CTTACTATAATTATAAGTACCACCTCATAAAAATCATCGGCATCAATTGATATGATAGGTAATCTAGTAGTAGGTAATAAAAATAAGGATAGGTGCAATTGTACAAATCAAAAGTGCAGCAAATAAAATAAAAACCAAGTGCTTTGATTACTAATCCATGATAACAATACATTGTTGACAGTAGCATTACCTACTTACTTATGGCGAGGTCAGTCGCTATCTGAAAGTAAGATCGACACATTGAAGTTCCCATTAGCTCCTCCTGGGAAGCCATAATTAAATGTATCTTGAATAATCTTACATCCATAAATATCTAATTCCCCAGCGTATTGTTATGTAGCTATAAAATAAGACAAGTATGCCCTTGATCAGTCGCATGGTTTGAGTGAAGCAAAATTAGGCTTTTTATATTTAATTTACGTTATTGTTGTTGTATTTTTGTATCTATTATATTATCTAATTTTGGTAAATTATAAGATTAACGATGTAACTTACAACAAAACTGCTCTTTTTAATGGTTGTATAATAATTTGTTAATTTGCAAACCTTGATTCGATCTTAAAGTTATATTTAAGTAAACAATATAAAGATTTGTTAGGTAGTAATTAAAAATATGTTATCTTATGTATAAATATTAAACACTCCTGTAAAATTGAGATAATATTGCCGTAACACGTTATACATAATTGTTATTAGTATATGCTAATGTGTTGTAGATGTAACATTAAGTCTGCGATCAAATGCATTCCTGGTTGGGTGGTATGTTACATAATGTATTTGTTTAACATAACACATCAAGTTTCCTGATCTAATGTGAAAGCTGACATTTCTGTTCTAAGTTTAATGACACTTTTCTGGACCGATTCCATACAGACGTCTATGTAAAGACTCGAATTATATAATGAGTTTGCTACGTATGTTCGATCATCACTAATTTTATATAAAATACGTGTAGGTAAATAAATTTACCAGCAACTACATAAATACAACTAAACAAAAACTTAATGCTTAATCATCGCAGACGAAGATACAATTGTAGATTGGTGATAATAGTTGAAATGAATAATCAAAAACAATTTACAATCTTAATGATAATATATAATGTACATATTATTATGATTGTACATTCAATAATTATGCATATTACGAAATATAATCTAGCACTATACTTAGTTATAATTTTGAGAATGAACATTACAATGTTTTCGTTTTATATCTATACTTACTGTATAAACCTGAATAGTTAATTTGGTTGTTTGTTTGTTTAGTTAAATGCTCTAATCTCAGCAACTACTGGTTCAAATTAAAAACTGTATTTTATTGTTGATTAGTTAATTCATAGGAATAGTAATACTAATAGAAGCAGAGCAGAAATAAAATGTTAAATATTTTAGAAAAAGAGATAATGTAACGCAAACAACAGCTACAAATATTAGGTAGATATGCAATATAAATGTAGCTACTATTAAATTAATTTACTATATTGTATATATCAATGAATTTTTAAAACTCGTAACTCTAAGGTTTGCAAGTAAATATAAAATATTGCAGGATACAATAGTTGCAATAATAATTTCTTAATATTTTTTCTGTTGAATGTGTATTTTGTACAAGATTTGAAATAATCAAAGATTGTTACTATAAGATTCTAAACATGCACCATCATTTTGGATACACCAAAATTAAGGTGTATGTGGATTAGAATCTTATAGTAACAATCTTTTAGAAATAACAGTGCAAGTATAACAATAACACAAGTAACTTATTGTAAATTTTATTCACTCACTGTTTTATAACTATCATCGCGTATCATTGCATTTGCGTGTATTCATTCTAAGTACATTGATATGCTCCCTTGACAAACACGCAGTAATTAGCAGTTAAATCTCAGATAAGACATCATTGTAATTTGTATACATAAATTAGTTTAACCTTATCCTTGAGGGACGTACTTGTAATATTGTATAATAAGACGTTTCCTTTATATTTTAGCCTGTCGTTGTCACTTAATGTGAATGGATATTTCCGCGTTGCAACCAAATAATACTTAGAAACGTAAAAATATAATAATTGTAAATATACCATGGTATATTAAAGTTTTTTAGTAACAAGCGTGTAAAAACTAACTGGCAAGTACGTACATACGTAGTTATGGTAATGGTGTTTTAATGGGCTAAACATTTTAAGAGGATGACAAATGCTATACGGTTATCTGGCAAAATTACATCATTGTACACGTAAGTAAGAGCTTAGGTGGTTATAAAACTTTGTGTGTACCTCGAAAATTTGCACTAATTATTTACCAGTTTTGTTTAGTGTGTGTCGAAAACGACGACTGACCTGTATCATTTGAACATAATGTAGTAACATGTCGAAATGTGATTTGATGACGATTTATGATAGATGACGATAGAGATGAGGAATCTCAATATATGTACGTTGAAGTGGAGTGGATTGTTTGTAATGCTTTTATGAGGTACACTTTGCGCAAAATCTCTGTATGTGTACAAAGTGTTGTCAACTTTAATCAAAATAATAAATAATAAACCTGACACAATTAACACAGCGCCATCTAGTCCCATGGTAAGCAAAGTTTATGTTTTGGGTACTAGACAATTGATATGAATACTTAGGTGTTTTTTTTAAATGCAGGCATAATATACAGGGAAAATACCCAGACTGATACAAACAATCGTAGTCATGAATACAAATGTTTGCACCGTACGAGGAATCGAATACGCGACCATCGGAAGTAAAGCGGTGTGTTAAATCGCTTGACCACTGAGGCCGAAATGTTCCTATATTAAAGTAGTTTAATACTACAACTACTTTACAACAGGTGGTGTAAACTAATCACGCAGGTAAAATAAAGTTTGAGGTTGTCATTTTTAAATATTGTATAGTGTATTTATATATTTTTTATTATCTACAATTACGTATCATATATTTGAGCTAGTCTTTTTATTATAACACAGTCTATTAGACTTTGTTAAAAGTATTACCTATTTCAGCCGGCTATGTAGTCTATGTTTAAGTTAAACGGTAGAAATAAGGCAGTGAAATTACAGAATAAGAGGTCATTATATCTTAATTTTCGGGAATAGTAACGCATGAGTTAATGTCGATGCTATAAAACATTCCTTCTTCAAGAGCTGCATTTCCTGTACATAAATATATATTCACATTGACACAGAAATCGATTGTACATCGTCAATATCCGATAGCAATCGTGTTACTTTCTGAGAAATGTTTGGAGGGTTAGATAGGTTAACGAGCCATACATGCGTTTATCTAACAAGCTCCTTTAAACAAAGTACATTTCTATTTGCCATATCTCTAGCAGACAAATTGTATACGATTGATTGAGCTGGTTGAGTTACGATTTGAGTCATCTGTCAATCGCCCACATATTTTTATTGTGTTATACTGTGAAACGTACTAGACATGAGTTTATATGAAATAATAATTATTTAATAATAGTCTATAAGAAATTATTTACGTTTAGTCATTTATTCATAAAACAATGACACAATTGTGTTTGAATATAAGTACAGTTCATTAAAAATATTGGTCTGAACAAGAATTCCTTTTGAGTAACCATAATATTAATTTATTTTTTAATAAAGATAAACTTCTAATGTCCTTCATGTCTGAGGTAATTTCAAATCAAATCAAAAATAATTTATTTATGTAACATCAAATATTCCCAATCGTCTAGATAGGGAATATTTGATGATATAAATTATTCCCTAATCTTAATATAATATTATAAATGCAAAAGTTTGTGTGTATGGATGTTTGTTACTATTTTACGCAAAAACTACTGAACCGATTTTGATAAAAGTTTACAGTAATAAAGCTTACGCATCAAAATAAGATGCAGCAAAATAAAAAATATATCCTATGTGTTAGGCTATATTTTTTATTGAATTTTAATACGGGTGAAACTGCGGCCACTACTTGTGATTCTAGAAAAATGTAATTACATTAACGTTACAAGAATTTTTTTTTATTAATTCTTACTTGCCTGATCCATACATGTAAGATTAAATTAAAATCAATAATTAATAATAAGTTATGTATTTGTGGTTAAATTATTAGATATTGTTACTTGCTATCTACGAGTAGATACATACGTATAATTGTACATACTTTGTTCTGGATATGCTATTTGTGGTTATTGGATATGCCGCACAGTAGAATGTGAAAAGTAATGTTCTCAATCTCACGTCTCATACTTGTTAAAAAATAAAACCTTTGTACATTTCATTCTAAGAGTAACGCATTGTGTGGTTTTTGTGGTTCACTCACTTTTACACGATATAAAGGTCACTTTCGCTACATTTTACAATAATAAAAAAAAAAAAATTAATTCTGTTATTTTTAACGAGATGTGATCGCGATACAAATACATTATACATACGGTGTACTTTATCATCATTTGTTTCCACTATAAGTTGATTATTGTATAGTTATTTTATTATATATATTGTTTATTGATGTTTTTTACACAGAGTATAATGGATGGTTTTATTTCTATTTTTTATTTTATATTATTTTTACAAGTAGAAGTACAAGTACTTTTGTAACCACTGAATATGTTAAACAACTAATGCTAAATGACTTATAGTGTTTACATGCATATATTAATTCATTGACTGCGTCGGTGGTCTATCATTTTAGCTAGCCGCCTTTTTTGTTACGACAGTCGCAGGTACAATTCTTCGCACAAAGCAAACATTTGTATTCATGAGTATGATCTAGGAATAAGGTCTAAGAATGCTCTATGTGTATAACGTATCCATATTTTTTATATAAATGTAAATATTTCTATCAGTAGTCCACACCCACAACAAGATTTGTTTAAATCCTCCTTTTTGAAATTTCCAGGACGAAGTTGCGCAGGTTAGGCAGTAAATTATATTATTTTTCAATCTTTTTGTTTATATCAAGCTTTTGAAACATTTGTATCTAAATGGACATAATATTTTTGTTCGCAGTATAACACGTGCCCAGGTAATTCAACGTAGTACCTCGACTGTGATATTTCACGGGTTCCACGGTAAAGACATTTCGAGGCGTGACTCGTCGCTAGCAGTACCGTACGATGGCCACGGCGTGAGCAAACGCCGGTAATGTTCACTTTAATGTCACAATTCGCATTTGAATACCGCAATTTTAATGAAAGCAATATTAGACCCAGTTTTAATAAGCTTTACATTCCAGGAAATGATAATAAATTGAATTTCGTATTTGGAATTTCAAGTTTGTTTCCGTGACATAACTAAAAAAGTATATCTGGTTTAGCTCAAGTGACATGACATGTTATAAGTGATATTTATATGAAGAAGACCGAATAATATATTTTAAATAATGTTGAATATATTAAATTTCTATGTAACAACGGAGAAAGTACATGATATTGTGCCTACTTATGATTTAATCCTGTGAAGATCATTAAAATTCCTCCTAAACCATGGATGGAAAAGAATTTAAATTGTAACGTACGGTGCAGTTACGTTTTGTAATAGAGTAAATGACCTGTAAAAACTTTATGTCCTCAATTTAAAAATAGCTACTTAATGGTTGTAATTAAATGCTTAAGTAATAGCCTTACATTTGTAATTAGAAGAACTAAAGTAACCCATTTCTGAGAACTCTATATGGATGAATAAAAAAGTAGTCTAAGTACTCATCTCTTTTTAAATTGACTTGGCTGTTTGTTTGCTTTCATAATACATTTACCTGGGTTAAGCATTAAAGTGGGCTAAATTAAAAACATGAATCAACCTCGGTCGTTGTGTACGTGACATTCTTTTAGTTTCCACGCAGAAGAAGTTACGTATACGTACTTGGTAATAAATAAAACCCTACTTACTGATTAACATTAATATTTAGTATGGTGATACTACAATTATAGATAGCAATAACCATTGTTAATTTAACAGGGATCTACAAAAGGAGCGAGGCTGCATTAGCGTCGTGACACAATGGGTCCAAGGGCCGATAAGCACGACACCTTCCGGGTCCTGGGAGCTGGGCTGCTTCGGATAAATTGCGGTCAATGACCGATCTTGTATAGACAGTACTCGACTATGGCTCTCTCTGTACAAAAGCATGATAAATAAATCACAATTAAACTTATAGTAAGTGTACTACACTTTTAATAAAATAATAATATATATTCATGGATGTTATCCTAGATGGGGTAGTTAGCGACATTGTTAACTCTATAAGTCGTTGTAAACACGATAATTGTTCTTTCCAAGTTTACTGGGCCTACGTAACTCTAACGTATCAGGGGAAGTTACCGTCATCTCTATTAGTAACTAAAATTGTTTTTTTATTTCAGTTGCATTATCTGAGAGTTAGTCTGAAATATTATCTATATTTCAGACTAACTCTCAGATAATTGGAATAAAGAGTTTTTTAGCCCAAATTACGAGATTCGAACTCACAACCTCTGGTATGCAAGTCATGTAGTAAACCACTGCGTTACAACAGTCTTAATTATACATTTTTAAGAATAACATAAATCCATATAATTACAACAAGTATACCTACTTGTAATTATGTAGTACAATAATTATTTATACATATATAATGCAGTAATTGCAGTTTTTATACGGCTTTAAAGAATGTTGATTTTACCTATACACGAAACCACTGTTACCTTTCCACACCTGAATTTGTACAAAATTACTTATTTATAGAATACATTACATTCTGTCACTTTTACAAATCGTTTCCAAACAACAGTTACGTAAACGTCGTTTCCTGAAACCAATGTACAAAATAAAATATATAATATAATAAAAGGAATATTTTGTTGAGTCTGGTACGTCATTTTGTAAGTCGTTTTGTCAATGAGATATTATACCAAACTTATACAACTCTCTCCATAAACTTGATATGATTTACGTTGGCATTTATTTGCACTCACACATATGTATATCTGATCTAATCAGACGTAATAATTAGATATATTGAGGGTGCATTCTGAACTGGTCTATATTAACTGTCGATTATATGGGATTTACAAATCTACACCAAAATACCAATGATAAATGCTTAGTATACGTAATTTGCAAAGTAAAAATATCATAACTCGTCAAATCTCTTAAAAACTTGAGACTGAAAATGGCCTCGTACCTACTAATTCCAAAATTTTCGAAATTGTATTATAAATCTAGTATTCGTTCCTGTAACTACAGTGTCATAAATGTAAATACTATATATATTTATGTATGTAGGTATGTTATAACAGTTTGAATGGTATTTACTTTCATACTACAATACCTTATTTATTATTTTTTCAAATGTTATACTCTATTATATAATATTTGTATTATTACTGCTATTTATTTTTTTAATTTATCTTCATTTTGGTACTATATGTATGAGTCTTATATTCGAGAGTTTTAATTTAATTGAATTCCTAAAAATACTGAATCGGTTGTATCAAATTTAACTAATATATTGCGTCACTTGTCCACAAATATGTGTTTAAGAAACGGAGTAGTAATTAAAATACTTAATATCATTAATATTACCGTATATTGCATTAAATCTATTAAAAGTTTATTTTTATAATACTAATATTATAGTATTTTTTTAACAATACCACAGAGAATCTCTTTATAGGCACATATTGGTTGGAAATGACCGTAGCAAATACAATATTATATAATACTACGTCTTGGATGTTCGATCGAAATAATAATACCTACTAATGGTAGCTTTATAGATAATATTGCAATAGTAGCTATTAGATAGTGAAGAATGCCTATTGCAAGTAATTGTAGACTAGTTGTTCGGAAATAATAAAAGCTTCCCTTCGATCATGAGAGAAAGCTCGGAAATGGGGTGATATCAGTTCATGCTTTGCCTTTTACAAAATTATTATTATCGAATATATTGTATCTGCCTTTTACCTAGCATCAACCGGTTTATAAATGGAGAGATTTCCAATTCGCCACATTTTTTCAGTTATCATTGTCAATTATGACTCAAGTGAACGGTTTCCGATTATTTTTTGGTATTCATTATTTCCGTGTTGGCCCGACACTCACGTCACAATAAAATGTGTTTTTATTTAAATAAAACCTTCTACACATATGGTAGAATAGAAATAGGTGTATACTATTTTAAATATTTTTCACGGTTGTTTACAATTACATACATAATGTACATATATGTAAATTGAGATATTTACCATGATAATATTATAGAGATCAGGACGTTCGTAACGTCCTGATTCAGAATATACTCTATAATATATTATATTACTCTATAATAACAGAATAGAAATATTGGGAGCACTTGAATAATATTATCAATGTGGGTAATAAGTGAATGATAATTCTAAATTATTTATTAAAAATAGGTAAATTGAAATTGATAATATTATATCAGGAAACACATAAATTATTTCATTAATCTCGATCTACTTTTGAATGAAAAGTAGCTGAGGTTAATAGCTATAATGTCATCAGGTTGATCTGGTATCATTATAATTCAATATTTTTGGATTGTGGCAAAAATACAGCAAGTGAAAGTTACAAACTCGAAAACTATTCGTTGCAAACGAATAGTTTTAGAAATCATGTTGGAAAATACGAGTAGATTAGATATGTTAGCTAAAGCTAAGACATTTCACGTAATGCATGTCCAGTGAAATTTTTTGAAGCTACGAATGAAAAGCTACCTATTAATTATCCTAAACAATAGTTTACCTTATATTTGCGAAACTCTTAATGAGTGTGACAGGCTCAGTTGCGACTTAACTTAAAACTAATTAGTTATATATCATACAAATAATGACAGCACTGTCGTCCAAGAAATTTCCTAAGCACAAAAGATAATAAATTGTGGTCTGTTGCGTGCCTGATCTGTGTAACCGAGTCAATGACAGCTAACGGCATTGAGTACGGATCAGTATGAGATTAACGATTTTCATATTAATCGCATTATATTTTACTAAATAGGTCCATGTTTTACTTCGTTTGGGTCTCGTACATAGAAAACACAACAATGCACGCCATCAAAAAGCATGATATCGTCGACCACATATGGACCAGTAATAACCTGATTTTGAGGGTGACGCAGCTGGAATCGAGTCACTATGCAAGTATTAAGGCGTTTGTTGCGCGGGTCCGGATCATCATGCTGCTTACCATCATGAAAGAGGACTACTGGCCGAAGTTGTATCGGTGCTACCGTGGCATATTGCCGTCATCAGTGCCGTGACTATGAGACGATTTATATTTTTACTATTATTTCATATGTACGTTAGTCTCTAAGTTATACATAATATGAGCCATAAGTAGTTTGAATGAAATAAAATAAAATTATAAAAATATTTTTTGGTAATACAATCATAAAAGCTAAAGATATATAAAGTGAATGTAACTATATTATACTGACTGTATTTAGTAATATATTATGTTATCTGTGGTAATATTTAAAAATGTAAATTTTTCGGATTTCAATGGTTTTCATGATACACTTGGTCATAGATGTTAAAGTAACTATTGAGTAACTTATATCGCATATAATGTGTAAACTAAGTGATTTCTGATTTAAAATAGTTAAATATTTCTTCCTTATACCCTATATCTAGATTAAAGTTCACAGGATGTCTTTGAACTCTACATGATACAGTCCACTAAACCTCACTGTATTTATTAGCATAATAACCCTAGTTATGCAATCGAATGATAGGGTAATGATCTCAAAAAGGGGCAATTTACACTATGTCGGTACAGCGTGCTGCCCAGTGCCCGGCAATCAAGTATAATTGCTATGTTTAACGCGATAAGTGTCAGGTATAAAATAATTTGATAACTGTTTGCTTGCTAACATCTCGTAGTTTTCGTGTGTTATTATTATCTTTCTCGATCTTCATTTCATGGATTAGTGAATCGCGAATTACTTCAACAGTAATTTTATCATCAATACTGCACAACCTATCTAGCGTAGTGGTTTTATAATGTTGTTCGAGAAAATTTTACAGGTTTGCAGACAAAAATACCTGCACGTATAACACTAATACATCACAATACACAGTAAACAATATCATTCTAATATAAATCTACAAACTTCTAAATTGCCAGAGGTATTCTAATATACATATATATAAGTACTATAATAGTAAGTTTAGTGTTAGGTGAGTACCGTATAATACAATGTTGCAATTTTTATACTATTTACTGTTCTATTAAAGTTACTGTTTAGGATGTGTGCGTTTAACTGCCATTACGTCATAATTATGATACTTAGAACATTCCTCTTTTTGCGTCAAGGGGTTAAAAATAGGTTTGATTATACATCACGCGTACATGATTATATGCTGTTTCTCGTTAGTTACCTATCTAAACATATTATTATGTACATTCATGGTCTGAAGCTGGCTGTTTAATGTTTTTTCAATTGATTTAAAAAAGGAGGAGGTACTGAACCTAATAGATATTTTTTGTGGTGTAAAAAAGTCAAGCAATAAATTTGATTATTTTTACAGTATAATATATACGTGTATTTATAGATTCTAAGAAAAGAACTTTTACAAGACTATATTATTTTAAATAACTAAACGAACGAATATAATCACAAGATTTGGAATCGATATCCTATACAAGATTTACTTCATTACATCTGTAGTCAGTAACATGTAGATTATCCAATAAGGAAGTTGTATACTGGCGAAATTGTTATCTGCGTAGATAAACGCATGTACGCATCATACTCATAGACGAGTAGACTGCTACGAGTCATTGCGGTTGCCCCAACAACATGGGAAACATGCCGACACAATTTACCTTACCGCATTAAAAGTACTGTTATTTGCTTACCGCAAATAAAATAAATACAAACTGTGAACTTAATATAACAATATTTGGACTTATCCGCACGGAAAAACGTAGAGAAACAAATCAATTGTGAACCGCGATTTCCCATGGTTGGGATTATAAAACGAAGGGAGCCAGTGAACGGTATCGGAATGATTCAGAGAATGTTGACTATAAAATATTTTTTTCGTGCTAGTGAAAGTTTAGACGAGTTCCCGTGATGGTGACCGTAATGTCAAGTACACACGCGACGTGACGCGACATGCCGTCAAACGCTGACTCTTCCACTCTACTTTATCTCTCCGTAAAATAGGACAACGTCTATTAATCATTATGAAACACAGGTTTGGATACAACGCAAATTTTTAAATTTGGGACATAGAAATGCAATGTTCTTGATGCCCGATGGACAAGAAAGGCCATACTTTATATAGTTCTGGGTAGGCTGTTCAATTGTCTTGAATTGTTATTGTTTAAAATATATTTCTCTAATTTATAAGAACAGTATTGAATAGTTGTCTAGACTATAGAAAAAATATAAATTAAACATCAGCCCTTTAAATTTTATTTTATAACTGTATTTATTATAGTTATAACTTAAAATTTAAAGGGCGATGAATAAAAACGAAATGTTTATCATTTCGTTTTAATTTTATCCTTCATTATTTTTATAGATATTTATCTTGGATTTATTCTACGCTTCTTTACTTTTAAATTTCCAAACAATGTCACACTATTCTCACCAGAAGGTAGGTATACAATTGTAGAGTAATCGTACGTCCTTAATTCCAAATTTATTTCCATGACGTAACTGTCTGATACATTTGAATATTTGATGGTGTCTGTGGTCTAACGGTTTAGCACATCGATTTAATTTCGATGGTCGCTGGTTCGATTCCTCGTACAGGCTAACAGATTGTATTCATGAGCACGATTGTTTCTACTGGTCTGGGTGTTTTTATGTGTATTATGTACGTATTTACAAAAAAAGTATTTATATTAGTCGTGTTGTACCCATATTACAAGCACTGCTTAGCTTGGAAGTAAATGGCGCTGTGTGAACTGTTCAGGCTTATTATTATTTATTAATTAGTACATTGATGTACTTACTGTCTGTGAGGTGGTTGAAGGCTGTGATGTCATCGTTAAGGCGTCCCTGCATACGCCGGAGCTTAGTACTCAGATCTCGAGTATGGAGAAACAGGAACAGAGTGCATGACACCGCCACTAGTGCCACTAACTCGCTAGTCCTATAAAGATAATACACTTATTTATTAAATGTTTATTAATTAAAACTAGTTTTCACCCAATGGTCGAAACTCGGTCATACTTTATTTAAATTATAAGGTCTTGTATCCATTGTCAAAGACTACACTTTATGCATGTCTGCATGTCCAATACAATGTATGTAATGTTTTATTATTGACTTAACGTATTTTTATGAATAATTAACAAAAAATATAAGCATTCAGCACTCCGTCTCTACACATATATAAACAAGAAGTCTGAATTACATACTCCTCTTTACGGATAGAGGAGCAGTTTTCATAAAAAGCGTAAGAACGGGAACAAAGTTTTTGATTTACGTATTAATATAATCATACTATATATAAATAACTACAATGAACACAACATACAATTTTTTTACCAAAGCAGCTTTGTACGAATGTCGTCTGCGTTATCTTTTTCTACCATCTATTATTTATTATTAGATGGAAACTCCACCGGCTTGTTTATCATTGCAGTTACATAACAAAATACAAAACGTATATTTTTACATAGAAAAAAAACGCGTTAATGTTAATGCTCCAGTAATCAACACTTTGCAACATGAAAAGGATGCTGTACTATTTCCCTCATTAACACTATCTATCAGCTGAAGTCTAATTCTATGCCGGCGCTAGATGAACAGTATATACCGCGTGGTAATAAATGTAAAAATATACAATATACATGTAGTTCCTATCAGATACACATAATTATATGTGAGAACTACGATGTCACGACAAGTGTAGACATGGGACACTCTTAATAAAGACCTTTGTCTCCTATACGCTTGTCTGGGTGGGTAAAACTAATGGGCAATTATTTCTCGCTACTACTACTCATATATTAACATTTTTGTTCATATTATTTGCAAATAATAGGTAACTGTGTACCTGTATTATAATTTCGTCTTAAGCATGTTTATTGCGATATTCAACCTACCATAGATATATGTATATATAATTGCAATTACTTTTTATTTTATGTAATCTACAAATTATATGGAATGTTTTTATGAAATCAAAGTAAAATATTTTCATTCATGTTGCAGGCTCTTATGATGAGTCAAATCTAATTTACCTCGCTGATCTGTAATAGTTATTAATCAACTGGCAATTCTTTTGTGGACTCCCGCGATACAGGTTCGCCTAGTACGGGGTTTAATGTATAATAAACTTTATAGTATTTGTATGTTTTAAAATAAATAAATATTTATTCTGAATGTAAATAATATAAGGTCGCGAGTAAGAATTAGCTACTACTGTGTTATTGTAATATAAGTTATATTATTGTAAACATATAGTTATTTATATATGTAGCTAGTTATTACTATTAAGCCTTCTAACGGAACATATTTAAAGCTTTTAAGTCCTAATTTACGTAGCTTTTAGCGTGCATGAATCATGGTATATATTACAAAGCTTTTTAATAGCTTTGGGCCTTCATTCAATATTTGCCAAATTAATAAAATGAATAGATAATATTAATATTAATGCTGTATTTGCGAATGTAAATAAATATCATCTGTATATTAATACGTGAATCAAAACTTTGTACCCCTTTTTACTAAATGTGCGCGGTTTTTTTTAAATGTTTTAACATTAAATCAATAAAAATAAATACATACACCAGGTATTCGACATACGAATACATATATACTTAAGAAAAAAAAGCAAACTCAACGTGAGCTAAATACAGCTTTAAGCTTTTTAAGTATGTGAACTGTATTTAGCTCATGTTGAATTTGCTGTGACAGTAAAGAGGCTAAATAATAATTTATAAAATTTGAATCAGGTTTGTTAATAGTATTTAGGTAATCATCGACGAATTAGCCACAAATTGAAAGAAGATTAACAGATACTTATGTCGCCAGATTTACGTAATCTACAGGGTCATATGAGTCAGGCTAAGCTCTGTTTAACCAAAACACTCTATTGATAATTACTATAAAAGACAATATATCCAAGACTATAGAAATACACTATATTATAATCGGTGTGTAACTAATAGACCTTAGACAATAGTGGTAATAGCTTCGAAGCGATGCTATTTTTAAATTCATTATTATCTTTAACGGTGACGAACAATGGGGTTTCCATAACAAAAATCCATTATTAAGCATTAACTTGAAACTACTGTGGCACAGTACTTGTGTGGAAACAAATACTCGAAGCCTCAATTTGTCTAATAGAATTGAAAGTTTACCAATTTTCTAATTACTGAATATATGTAGACACCCGTAACTAACTATGCGTGCCACTCCATAAGAATAACAACTTATTTACGTCCATCTATGTATTTGGGTCTCCGTAAGAAGAGTATATTATTACATACTAGTACAACATTAATTAGGTGGTTTGGTTTTATGTCAACCTTTTTTCGCCTGTACTTAAGTACCTAGAATTCTTTTCGTCAACTTTTATGACATACTACAACACTTAGACTAAATGAACAATTCTTTCTCCCATCAGTCTTTCAATTTACAAATATATTACAATTACTGTATAGGAGTTTTATCCTTCCTTGCTCCGGAAGTTTTGCAAGTAATTTGGCACGCTTAGGATTATGTTTATAACAGAACGTTAAGCTGAATGTTACATAAGCTAAACTCTTATTACATTCCAGAATTAATTCGAGTACGTTTTAGTAGTGTCACTATAATATTCAAGTACGTAATACCCAGAAGAGTAACCAGGAAAAGGCGAACTAGGCGAAAACAAGTAGTATCTAGTTAAATGTGTATATCTAAAACTCTACGTATTACGTATACTATCAACTACTAGTGCAATATTGATCACCTTAAATGATTCACAGTATTCACATTATGTAGCATAAATATAATTCACATGAATTGCCCATTTATAATCCAATAACTAGCTAGGAGTACGCATTGTACGTATGTAATTCTAAAAATTATCTATTCGTATCATGCATACGATTATATAGATCAAATTAATGTTGAATATAAGTTACATACAATACATATAGGTCAATAATCCACAATCATAATTACATTTCCTAAAACAAGATGCTCATTTTCCTGTTCCGTTTTACTACATTAATTATTTTATTCTAATTATAGCCTATCAACTTCTCTAAAATTAGCCATGTTTAATGTATAAGCATTGTGACAAGTATGACTAGATGGATAGACATTAATTAACTGAACATGAAGCTAATGTTAATATAAAAAACTAACCAAAACATGCGGATTAGTTATCGCGTTTATTGTAATATTATATATCTAAAATAATTTATTTTATATCTAAAATATCTGTACCTTTTTCCATCTTTATTTTTCCAAATGAATGACTAAATATGAAACTGTGTTTGTCAGTCTCTCTATCTTCCTCCTAGTTTGTTACTTTGTTATAACAAAATGGCTGAACGAAAATTAATTAAATTTCATGTGAGAGTGATAATAATTAAATTGTGGTATATTACGATGATAGATACAGGTTCACATTTATCTTAAAAAAAACAGACAATGTCGAAGGTAACGGTCAGTTATTTGACATGATTTTAATACTAAATTAGTTATGCGTATGAAGAATATCTGTAGGTATAAATTAGAATTTATTTCGTATCACAGATACCGCAATTAATTTCACGAAATCAACTATAACTGACAGTAATTACATGACCGATCTTTTAATAAAAAGTAACCTCTTGTTTCTTGCTCAGATAATTTTTATATTGTTAATGATACCCGTAAAGATTTGCGAATTCATTTCATTATAAGCTATGTGCATATCTAATAGATAGGTACTCTCTAAACTTTTCTATAACTAATTAATTTAAAAACTATTTTTAGCAACTTGATTAAAATTTATACATAGACGTATGAACCTTCATAGGTCTAATATGTATTACTAGTTGTTTTTATTAGCTGTAGGAGAAGAAAATAAATATAGTTAGAGAAATTAAAGCATAAATTACATTTTAGCCCTCTAGAATGGCAAGGCATGAGTAGTATCAGACTTGCCACATGTTGCCGTTAAGTACCTGGAACTGTTCGTGTATATTAGCGACGATTGTCGCTTACCGTCTGGTAAGACTTTTTGCCAATCCGATTGCATATTTTTTTTGTAAAAATTTTATCATAATTTTATATCCTTAGTCCATTTTGCCCATTATGTTGGTTAATTAGATACATCTTAGATTTAAAGAAATAAAAAATAAGAATATCTTGTTTTAATCAGGGATGTCAATAGATAGTCTGTGGTTGGGAGACTCTATAGTGCACAAACAAAATATCGTGTGAAGTTCCTTTCGCTTTAAAGTAAGTAATAAGTATAAGCTGTAGATTGTCCTTTCACATTGTAACTTTCAGCTTTCTACATTTTTATCCATAACATATTGAACGGTATACACTCTGAATGAGTGAATACCGTTCAATATGTTACATTTTATAAATTGTATTTCTGTTGTTCTTGTATTGTCATTCATTGAATATAGTGTTTATCTCCATCAACCATAGTTTTTTTTTTATAAAATCATAATAATACAATATTATTATAAAAAAAAACAGTACATAAAAAACCATAACTAAGAATGTTATTATCTTATTTTAGTAAATTATTGAGATTTCTGTCAGTTCTGACAGAATCATTCTTTCTTATATTTTTTGTTCATTCGTTCACATACCGATAAACTTATTAAATGTAAACCTAAAAAGATTTCAGTTGGAGGTAATTAAGCCACGATATTACCATTTCAAGAATTTAATAATATCTTGGTTGAATAAACAGTACAATATATTTTATTATATCTTATAAAGAAACTGTGAAAAACGTTATTCATTTTATTAATAACCGAATTAAAACTTGAACACCGTACTTTTTTAATTGAACTACCAGTATTACAGTACTACTGTTTACCAGCCACGGTGATCGCGTTTTGATAGCAATGCCGATGTTTTGATAAATTCACGAAAACCAATGATTAAAATATTAAATAAAATTTCAGCCTAAAATTGATGATT